ATTCACACAGTCACAAACCAATGGTGGTGTAGCTGGCCACTTGGAGTAACTTTGGGGTTGAACATCTTTCTCAAGGACATGTCGATATGTGGACCAGAAGAGCTGGGTAACAAACCCATAAGGTACCTCATAAGCCACAGCCAGAGCAACTTTATATAAAATCTAGTTTGGTTGATTTACTTTTTCAGATGGATCAAAGTGCATTGTTTTTGACTGTTCCCTACTCCGTCTGCAACTCTCCTCCCAAGCTGACAACTACTGTACAAGCAAACACTACCTGTGCTGAGGAGACAGCAGTAGTGCCAGAGCAAGACATCTCAGGGGAGACCTGTGTGTGCATATATTACCAGTTCATCCTTTCAGCCAACCCTGCACCAGTCCTGTCAACACATTTGGTTCTAAGGCTCTCGATCAAAAAAGGAAAGCACCTGCTCTGCCATGTGGGCCACGCTGGGTGTTTCACCTGGCCCCAGCAGGATCGTGGCCCTCTAAATCCACTACAAACAACCATTAATTGATGTGGCAGAAATCTGGATGTCTGATTGGGTTCGATTACCCCCATCCCTCACCCCCCCATTCGCAGGGGAGCTGGGACACATGGTGGGTGATGCATTTTTCTGTTTCAATTAAACCCAAGATGGAGTCACAGTGAGTCAGAACATGCTGCTGTTATGCAGATTAGCCAGCAGGTATTTAGCGAGGATTGAGATGTCCCTTTGTGATTTGGTTCATTAGGGAGAACACAGCCACACGCCCCCCCCCACACACACACACGCACACACACGCCACTCCATAGGAATCATGCAGATACTGGATCAAGTCCCACAAGAACAGCCAATTTGGGGCAGCACTGGTTCTTTTAAATCACAAACAACAGGAGGGAGAGAATTCCTTTATTTTATATTTCATGCAGCAAAAAGGGCAAAAGTTTCTAAAGCACCTTTTGAAAACCAATCAGATTCAAACTGAATCAGCTTTATCATTCAGATCACAGCGCCGCTTGTTACACCGCCAGGATGCCAAAATTACTTTACCTCAGCGTGTGACTCATATATGAGGTCAAGAACGATCAGCAAGACAAGTGTGTTAAACATAAGCTACAGTAAGCTGATAAGCAGAAATTAGAAATTTGTTAGAAATCCCATTTAATTATTTATATTCATATAAGCTTGTTCTACAAAACTGACACAATGTGTTGGAATGTATGGCGAGCTTTTCTGAAACAGTCTTGGGTCCAGCTGTCTTTCTGTAAACCTTTCAACACTGCAAATCATGGAAGCAATTATATCTGAAAGGAGAAATTCTTTCACAGTGTTGCACAACGTCAGCCTCTGATGTTTGCTGCATATTTCAGTTCTTATTTACAATCACATTTTTTAACTTCTTCAAGTAAGCGCATTTCAGGTAAGCAATGTTCTTCCACTTGTTAGTTTTACAAGCCTTGACACAAAATGAATATCCACCAAAATATTTTCAAATAATACATTTATTAAGCGGATTTCTCAGAATTATCAAGTTAGAGTTGTTCTCTTCAATCGAAAACAACACAAGCAAAGTCGTAGTGTCTATTATGGCTGCAAAACATACAAAATTCCAGCAGACACACACGTTATGGCTGCATCCAATTTTAGCCTATTGAGTTGATATGTACAAAGAATTCATCACTGGACGACCGTTATGTTTTGGCGCACAAGTCTGGAAAAGTGAAGTTGAAACTGACAGACAAACCTGATGATTACAGCTGATGTGTCCCAGGTTAAATTCATGATTTCTGTTTGGCCATGTTACACAACAGCACAACACAACAACAGCAAGCCTGAGCCAGAAATGCAATGTATATTACTTGTGGTGCTAAAGTGCTTCAGTGTTGAGGTTCGTATAGGTTTTAATAATGGAGCCTATGATGCATTTTTAAAGCACACTTGTGAGCTGCTGTAGTAGTATTTTGTTTTAATGCTTTATGCTTTGTTTGATGGCAGTAGCAGCAGTTTGGGAATATTTGAGATGTTGCATCAGACCCGAACAGCCACTTGTTATTTGATTACTTATTTTAGTGCCTGTCTAGCACTGGCAATTTCATGACAGGCTTTCCTGGAGCAAAGCCCAGGGGCTTGGAATTACAAAGGGCTTCTGAATGATATTAATAATAATAGGGAGTAGAATGTCATTAATCATGTGTAATGATGAACTGGTCAGTTTGTTGCCAATGGCCACATGTGTTGAAACTGACTGGTCAATTTGGTATCAGGGTGCTGTTACATTATGAGCTGGTCTGGCAACCTACCAAGTGGAAAAAATTGTATGCAGCCATGGTGGAATCCAGAATAAATGAAGAGTGCTCAAAAAGGCTCAAAAGGACAAAGAAAAGTGAGACCAAGAGCAACTTTAAAATATATCTGAGTTAAATGGATTGTTCAAAAAGGCTCAAACCAACTAAGCAGAGTCACGGAAATTGACTCAGAAACAACTGAAACAAGTTCATCCACAGCAGGTTCACCTGCAGTGCACCAACTAACTGCAGAGAAGCTGAAGACGACACTGAGGGCGCCTCAGCGGCTCTAAGCATGGGTCCCTTTCCATCCGGCATTGACTCAGATAAATGAAAGATTCCATTACTGCCACTGTTTGTATCTATTGGACCAAACTGGATCTGGAGACTTGTCAGAATACACATGCTCACCGTCTGCCTTGGTAAATCAGTGTTTAATCTTAATGCTTGTTATTCTGGCATGTGCATTTGGTGTGGTCTTTTGTACTGATGATGTTTACTGTTGTGCTGAACAGTTGGAGAGAGATGTTTGTGTTATTTGGGTGAGGCTTTACTTAGAGTAGCAGTTTCACTCTGTGCAGTGGTAAATCTGTTGCTTGTGGGTCGACAAACAGGCTAAGCCCAGGGGTTAGTTAAAGTTGTTGACAGGTTTAAATTGGCCCTGGGGGAGGGGTGACGATGGGGGATGTTAAGTTGACATCATAATTATCCTGCACCACTGATGACTCTTCAGGTGATTGTAAAATGATTAAGCTGATGCTCTGGCAGATGTTTATGTCTAATTGCCTTATTAGCAGGGAGGATGGAGAGAAGTTGTGATCTGATATATGCACGAACTTGCAATGTGCCTGATCCTCAAAACAAGTGAGTTAGTAACTGTGTAGGAACCTGACACAACAACCCAACACCTGTTGCCAATTACATTTAAACTAAACTCTTTTATGTGTCTTGGGCAGACTGGAGAGCCACGATTACTGGGAAAACCAGAATGTAAATGGGACCAAGAAGCATTAAATGTGGATCCAAACCAAAAGATACACCCTGCCCAGAGGTATCTGTCTTTCTGAGTTGCATATGTAATCTTTGAGACCTCTGTATGCTTCAGTCTAGGTCCTATGACTTGTCTTCAGATTGTGGCTAAAACATATAGCCATTCTGATCTCTGTGAAGAACTCGGTGTCATTGTTACATCTTTGTAAACTCTGCATGATGAACTGTACAGTACTAATAGTGCACACGTCTGGACAGGCACTCCTCAAAGGCATTCAGAGTATTGGCTGTAGATGCAAATAGTGAAAGAGAAGTCAAACCCTGTTTTAATTTTGCACCTTTGTACACCTGTTTTGAAGAGAAACTATTAGTACTACATTCATACAGAGAGATACTAAAATTAAGATATGTAATCTTGATCGTCATACACTTCATACTGGATCACTAAGGACATTTTTCAACTCTATGTTGCAATTGCCAAAAACAAAAAAGGAAACACCCTCAGAGTCATAACTCAGTGCAAAACCGAAGTCTCCCTGATCGAGGGATGCTTTCATACATTAGGAGAATGCATCACTTATTTCTTTTTCCCCACTGAGTGAAATCCCGGTTGCCGAGCAGAGGTCATAGAGCAACATCTTCAGCCCAACCTGCCTCTTGTGCTCTCTACCATCCCCCTCATGTCCATTTTTGGATTAGAGACAGCCTAAAACCCCCTGCATGGCGCTCTGCATGGATTAACTCTTAGAGAGGCTGCACTGCTGTCACACATTAACCTGCAATCACAGGTCTCTTGTGCAGACAACACTTGCAGCAGACCTTTAGAAGGGGTTGTTAGAGTCTGATACAAACATGCTGTGAAGTGTTTGCACTGTTGTTCTGCACATTGAGAGCAGCATGTTATTCACAGTGAACTACAGCCAGGCCAAGTTCAGTGGCAATCAAATGCTAAAACAGAGACTCCTTCACTGTTTCAGTGATTTATTAGACAGATCCTGAGGTTTGTAAAAATGATGAGCTCTCAGCACTGGTGCAGACTGCCATATTATCTGTCTGTGAAGATGTTTACCCAATATGCTCACACAATTGGAACTTGCCCGTCGCGCTAATAGCCTCTACAGTATGTGAATGAGCATTCAGGTGCAGTCAGACTCGGCTAAGCGCACAACTGTGACTAATTTAAAGCTTCACCAAGAAGCCATGAATCATTCAGCCCAGTGAGACTGAGACCGAGCACCCTGCAGACACTGGGAGTATGAAAAATGCACACATACGCCTGTTGACAGACAATCATTTGCTCCGATAAAATCACACACATCATCCCTTCTGCTGGAGAGCAGAGGAGGAGAAGGACGAGCGGGAGCTGTATTCTTTGCAACAGCAACAGTTGGCTGTCTGTCGACTAAGAGGCAAAGAGTTAGCTGCAGCACATAGACACAAATGGGGGCGCAACATGCATGCACTCACACACACACACACACATATATACAATAGGCAGTTGGGAATAGAAAGAGATGGACGAGGTAGCCAAGGGGAAGAAAAGGTGACAGATAAAGCCACAAAGCCACACTGCTAAAGGGATGCTTGGCAACCGGTGGCAAAAATGGAGATGCAGTAATAAGAGAAAGGGAGAGGGAGATGAAGAACTAAAAGGGATAGACACACTTGTAGATATGTGGGAAAACGCCATGATAAACAGCCGGATGGATGACAAGAAGGGAAATCATCACTCATCACTCACTGGAATCATCTGAGTCGTATCCCTCCACATCAGGCTCTTCATCCCTCTTGGTGGTCTGTAAGGAGGCGGAGGCTCCAGCACAAGCCCGGTCTAGGCTGTCCTCATTGGGGCGGTCACTTTCAGCAACAGCGGTGGCCGAGGTGGTGGCCGAGGAGGTGGAGAGGGCAGAGCGCAGGGGCCCTGCCTGGCCCACTTGGTGGGGCACAGCAGGCGGGAGGCCCCGCGGGTAACGGGGGAAGTAATCAGAGATCTGCTTGATGGGCTGGATTGGACCAGGGGACACGTCAATGGCCATGTGTTCCTGGATGCTGATGGTGGGTTTCTCGCCTTTGCGTTGTGTCATGCATGCAGTCCAGCCCGGAGCCTACTCCCAAAACCAAAAAACTGAGAAAAGAAACAAAAAGAAGATAAATAGACCCAACCCCCGTCTCCTCCGACTCCTCCTCTTGCTTCTCTGGAAGAGGTGATGGGTGACAAGGTCCAGGTGATCTGTGGATGTCACTACACTGATCTACACAAGGAGATCTGGAGGCTGCTGCTGTGTCTTCCAGTGCTGTCCTCAGACCCAGACCATACTGTCGGACAGCCTCACACACATTACTACCAACCCTCTCGTTCTCTCCTCTTCCTATACCCCCACACTGTGCCCACGTCTGCGCTGCCTATCAGAGAGAGAGAATGTGTGTATGAGGGAGAGGGAAGGGATTAGAGAGGAAGGAGGGAGGGATCAGCTGATGTCACTGCCTAGCAACCGAGCAGTAAACAGGAACCATCAGCCGAGGTGCTTAACTATGATATTAACCCCATCCATCTGTCTTTGGGAAGGAAGATCCAGCACAGAGCCAGACCCAAGCACATGTGAACGTGTCTGTCCTTGAGCACATGGGAGCGTGTCGATTAGCCATGAATCAATGTGATTCAAGTGTGATTCAGGATTAAACTGAATTTTTTTCTGAAAGTTTTTCTTTTTTGGCTACTTTTCTATTGCAAATATTCAAATTAAGGTACTGATTTTAGTTTAGTTCCTATACATTGGTGAACACATCCTGAGTCCCCATTGCACTTCTTTTTTTTTTAATCTGTGATATCAGTGATTTTGTAAAACTTGAAAAGGAGAAGGTGTAGAGGGTGCCAGTCAATCTCCCTTAGGGCCCAATACTCCACATTTCTGCTGCCTCTGTGGTGCCATCACCCCCTGATTTTACTTTTTTCTTCCCCTTAGATACTGTATTAAATAATACACATACCTTTATTCCTTCTTTCATTCATGCACAGACCTATTTCCACTTCCTCATATTATGCACCTTATGTTATCACACATTTCTTAATTGCGTACCATCTGCTCAATTTTGTGGGCGGCCATGGAAATATGTGATGCTGAATACTTTCACGCTTGTTTAATAAACATGTTTCCACATTTCACCATTGTGCACTGGTCGACTTGACACAGCGACTGTAAAAATGAAGTGTGACACTTTGATGTACTGTTAAAGCTGCACTAAGTCAAGTCAAATAGCCCAGTAACACTAATTTTCCTCAAGAGGTGTTACAACCAGTAAAGCATACAACTGTCTTTGTCCTGAGACCCTCAAATCAGATAAGGGAAAAACTCCTCCCAACACCCTTTAAAGAGAAATATGTAGAAGAAACCTCAGGAAGAGCAACAGATGAGGAATCCCTCTTCCAGGATGCACAGACATGCCATAGATGTTGTGTGTACAGAACAAATAAACATACATATTTACAGTATCAATCAGAATGACAAAATTGTACATTTTATGAAGAATATGACCTAGGAGGATGAGACAAGACCTCTTTGTACAATCACATCTGTCCTCTTATTGTACACCAGTGTTACTTGATCCACTAATCCTCCAACAGAATTTTACACAAAGAAACCAAAACAATTCAGTGACAGTTGACTGCAGGTAAAGCTATCCTCTGCTGCTACAGATGGACATGCAGCTTTAAACCCAAAATTATAATTGTAACTTATGTTCACATGTCAAAGCCGTTTTCCACCAAAAATCCTAGTGCGAGTAGCCTATCCCTGCAGACTTCCTATCACTTCTGCAGCAGCTCTGTCATCACTTCAACCATTCACAAGCAGAACATTTCTGCAGATGGTGCAGCACCCTCTTGTGTTGTTACCAACAAGTTACAGCATTGTAAAATTGAAATTCAGAAGCTAACAGGTGGTTTTAAGTTCCAGAAATTAATTTGACACATGATGAAGAACTTTGATGGAGTCTGACCTTCTGCAGGTGGTGACCTTTTCAGCTATTTGATATTCATTATCTATGCAACCTGTCTTCTGTTTAAGCAAAGTGGGAACAGAAAACATATCCTTTATGTGTGAAAAACCAGCAAAGGATGTTTTACATTACTGCCATGGAAGAAATTCCCAAAAATTTCTGACGCCTTTCTGAACAGGTGGCTTCATTTATGTTGTCCTCCTCTACATGACATGGTATCTCCACAGGAACAACATCACACTGCCCTTAAAAAAAAAAAGTACACTCCCTGTGGTGATTCCTTGGCCGTTTTGGCCATGGAGAGTCTAGAAAACCTAGCTTCTCCCAAAATTAATGATTTTGGGATTCAAAAGCTTCAATATAAAACACCTAAAATATAAATACACTGCCCTCTAAATATGCCACCCAGGGAGGATAATTTCCATTTTGAAGTTGCCATTATTTTTGCACATATTTTCTGGAAATACACACTGTCTGGTAACCATGTTTTCTGTGGGTAATGATGCACACCACAGGGTTTCATTCTAGGCACTGGAGGTACGGCGTCATTTCTCTGGAACGGTAGCAACTGAATGATAGAAATGGATGCCTGTACAGCTTTGTTAGAAATAATGAAGTGTTCAAAGTTATGGTCAGAAGCTGATATCCATGTCTATCTGTTCCATTGTGTTTGTCTGTTCATTGGAGTGATTGAATAGGTTTATTCATTCATCAATGGCATTGACAATACTGCAAATCTGTGTCCAGATGATTTTATAAATTGAATTTTATACAATAATTATAAGACAGGGATATGACTTACTGATAGACCTTCAGTGATGTTTTATTGTATGAGTATCTAGAGCAGTGGTTCTCAACCTTTATTGGCAGAATACCCCTTTAAGTCAAGTTGACCCCCCCAACACCTCAACCGCTTCCCATGCACACACACTGGATGTTTTCCATCATTTAAAAATAATTTGTTAGTATACAAGTGTCCAAAAAAAATGCAGTGGCAAAGCAGCACAATTACTATGTCATCATAACTTGGTTTCCTCCATATCCACCAAAGCTTTCCTCCTCTTGGCTGCCTGAAAACTGTTCAGACCTAAAGCAGTCTTTGTTATTCAGAGCAGAAGCACACATGCAGAAAAAAAAGTATAAACAATCTCTCCTAAATTGCATGCCATGTCTGGAGAAATCTGATTAATGGTTTCTTAACAAGTGCTTTCAAGGAGGCTCTGGCACTCCTGTCACCCAGGAATTTTGTATAAACAAGGGAGTCAAGGTTAAAAATGACCTTTTCAGATATGCTTGTTCATGATGGCTTGTCCTATTGCCTGAAAACCTTTCCTTAATTTTAGCTGCACATAGTTATGTAGAAATAAACAGAAACTGAACAATTTTTTCTCACACACCATATGTATTGAAATTTTGAAATGTTGATCTGGGCTTCATTGGCTAGGGGGACCATTCTGATTGGCTGTTGAGCTTAGCAAATGAATGCATGAGAAGGCAATGGTTTGGGAAAGCCCCTTCAGCCTGTCATTTAAGTTTATGATTTCACCAGTTTAGTTTGGTTTCTTCTTGTTTTTTTTGCCTCCACAACCAAAAGACCAAGGGAAGAGAACGGCAGTGCCATTTGCAACTTCTTATCAGACATGAGGCAGCTATAAACAGCAGCTGTTTTGAACAAGAGGTACTTATACTACTGCTTTACAGCTCTCATTCATTCTCTTTCTGAACGGCAAATACAGATACTACTACCTGCAGGTGGGGGACTCATTTCTCTCACACAGGCACAAAACGTACCTACAGCTTAGCGAAGACATAGGACATTCCAAGTCTCTTATATCAGGCCTGAGGACCGAGGACAGTCCTGGAGGAGCCATGACCAAGGAAACACGAGACCATCCTTCGCAGAGGTTTTTTGTGATGTGACACACCCCTTTTTCAGAAATCAGTTGGTGATTGGATGCTTCAGATGAAGAAACTGAGGAAAGGATGCTTCCTGTTGTTAATGACATGTTTCTTTGAGTCCTCTCTCCTCACATCTTTTCCTTGCGTGGGCAAGACTGACACAGGAAAAGATGCAAGTGAGGGATACGATGGTCCTTATAAGAGACATGAGACATCCTTTCCTCAGATCCTTCTTCTGAATCTGATCTATATGTCTGCCAAGCCTGCCCTCTGGTGGTGACAACAGAAAGATTCCGTTTCAGCTTTAGCATACACAGGGGAATGCTTTCCCCCTGCACAGCTGTGAATGTGCCTGTGCTCTGCAAGTCTAGGAATAATTTTAAAATAAATAAATAAATGAAATACTTAAATGTGGACAGAAGTGGCCTGTGATATCATTAGCCTAAGTAGCTTTGGTTTTCTAATGTCTATCTGCTTCTGGTGATGGGTTTAAAAAGTAACCTGAAGCTTGAACAGCAAATACTCCTCTTTTCAAGTCTGTAATCAATATTGTGTATTTACAGTACATATATACTTTATGCTGAACATTTTTTTCACTGAAACAAAGATGTGAATAGAATCAGTATCAATGTTGGAAATCTTCATTTTGAGTCTATAGACGCTGAATAAAACTCACACTAAGGACTGACCTGGTTCTGGCACATGCCACCTAACTGCCGTTTGATTCTGGCTGGCTTTTATTGTCATGCTCTCTCTCTCTCTGTCCCCATGTTTCCTGTCTGCATCTCTGCAACTGACTTTTAATTAAAAATATAATGTACTATCTTTGCAACACCCCCAGCTCCAGCTCTTTGACAACACAGCAACACTGGTAATATATTTGGCTTCTACACAAGCCTCTGGCTCAGTGACTTTTCCTGTTATTTATTTGGGAATTATGAACATTTCCATCAGGATGTGATTCTGAATATTAATCACCTCAGGCCTGCTGGCTTTAAACACACATTGCTGCTCCACCCAGATTTTAAAAATAACATTCCAACAACAACCAGTTGGGTTTCATCAGTCAGTCTTGATCCAGTGTAAGCAAACACTTGACAGATTACGACAGCATCTTAATGCTGCCTAGTTCCTCTCTGCCTTCTCCCACTGTATAAACACATGCCAACACACTGCTGGCACTGCTAAGTGGTTGATTTGTAGTTGGTTGTCTTTCTCTGGAATTACACTTAATTTTATACAGAATACCACCACTCAGCTCTGCTTGGACAATCTTCTACCACTTGCCTGGACAGACCTTGCTTGTACTTGATCTGGTTCATCAAAAGAATCACGTATACTGCTCAGTGTGTGTGATGTTCTTTCTGCCATAGTTTCTTTGATAGTTTTCCTACATAAATGTAACCAGCACAATGACAAGTGCCTCCAGAGCAGCAGCTCCATTTCAGCTGCAGACATTCATCATCTTTCCAGCTCTAGCTTCATCCTGTTTCAAAGGGGCTGACATGAGGGCAGACAAGTCTGCTTGGTGGTTTGGGGTCTCACGGGTCATTGTGACCTTTGTTTATCAAGAGCTGCAATGGTTAAGCCTGCTTGGTAATTCTGCCCAGCTGCCATGTGCCCTTTGTCTGCCAACACTGTGAAGAACTTTTCTTATTTCTTCCAACTATTGCAATGTATTTAAAGCCTCCTGACTTGACAGTTGTTGAAGAGATGCTAGTTTCAAGTAACTTAGTGCTCAAATGTAGTCAAATTCTAACTTCACAAGATAAGGCTGATGATATTCCATTGTTCTTGCTGTAAAAAGGCTATGGTGCTTGTGCATCCAAAGCTTCATTTGTGCCATAGCC